CCGGACAACCAATGATAGAACCCGAGGGTACGGCAGGAAGATATGCCAGGGGAGGTTTAGGTTGGACATTAGAAAAAGGTTCTTCATCCAGAGGGTGGTGGAGCACTGGAACAGGCTCCCCAGGGAGGCAGTCACGGCGCCAAGCCTGACAATATTCAAGAAGCAATTGGACAACGCCCTCAGACATATCACAAGAGCTCTGTGCTGGAGTGCTGTCACCCTAAAAGCACATGTTTAAATGCTGTTAGGTTAGTGAACAAAGGCTGCGTATGCTTGTCGGTGCTTAATACAAACCAGGGGACAGGTGGACAATAAAAAAAATGAAATTCTTCAGTGCTGCACATCCACCATGTCATTTTCCATATTTAAGGCTTCATCTGTGTAATTACATATTAGAGGAATCAAAGAAACTCTACCCTCTCTATAGGATGGATTTATGCAAAGCATCTCATTGTAACTTTTAGATGTAATGTAGAGATAGAAGCGCTGTGTGGATGGGAAGCACAAGAAATAGGTTTTACGGACATGCCTTGATCCAGATCCCTGATTTAAAATACCTGTAATTCAAAAAGAGGAGGCGATCCCAATCCCCTTCTTTTCCCTAGTCTCTTTTGCTCTTCTCAGCCAGTAGCAGCTGTTTCTGCTTGACTGGGTTGCAAAGGACCAAGTGATCCAAGAGGAGACCTGTTCCACTGCTGAGTACCATGTGACAAATTAATTTCAACAGCTTCATTTGAGGCAAATGCACTATACAATTCACTCTTACTGTTGTTCTTTAGGTATGAATCCAGCCTCTCTGAAGCACAGCAAATGGACCTTGATTTCTCAAAACCACTTTTTATAACAGCTGCACTATTTGCTGCATGCAGGTGAGTAGAGCTTGAGGGATCTTTTGTGGGCTTAAATGCCTAGTGAGACACCAAACAGAAATAGCGCTTACAATGTAAGCAGCTGATGCATTCAGTATGTCTGAAGGGCCTTGCTTGGCACATCCTGCTGCCCTGCTCCTGGAAATGGAGACAGCAGTAGCAAACCAGACCTTTCCTTACAGTGAAGTCTCCAACATACGCTGCATTTGCCTTCAGGAGAAAGCAGAAGTATTGTATCAATTATACAGAAAAGGATCTGGAGTTACTTATCCTAAAATAAATGAAACCTGTCTTCCCTGGTGTGTAATCGGATGCTGTGGGTAATTCCATTAGGAGAGAACCATGGCAGTGGCTGAAAAACTGCTGTTGGTGTTTTGCACTTCACCCTCCTTCCTCTCAGCCTGACCAGCATAACATAATCCCTTAGTAACGTTTTCAGATTTAGTGAGAATTTTTTTCCATTGTCAGGATAGATTTGAGCTGGGCACAAAGCAAAAAGTTGCATGGCTTTTGGTGAGATACTGCTCAAGGTGCAAGAATGGCTGCTAGCTTACTTCTGAGCACCGACAAGCAGCCATTCGGAAGAAGGAAGAGCCCCAAGTCCTACGCCATCACATCCTGAGAGTGCTCTGACCTTCGGGAGATGGATCTAATAGCTGTAGGCCTGTATCAGCTTGGAAGATAGGTGTCAGGAGCACCTGACTCAGCCAACCCTTTGTAAGAATTTGCTTGCAATGCAAATACCTTCCCTCTCAGTATTACACCTTGTAACAATCTTATGAAGTAATTCAGGTGCTGTGTAGTTGCACAGCTCCTGACAAATGTTCTCTTGATACAGGGGTCCCATTCAACTTCTTGCAGTAGTGGGATTTTGTCCTGCTTCCCTCAAAACCTGAGAAGCACCCTTTCCAAATAGAATTTCTGTATGTAGCTTGAACTAAACCTGAGTTTCAATTCCTGAGCTGTATTGACTGAGTAGTATAGGGTCTATTTTTTAAGCAAATTTGTTTCTGAGTGAGAGAAGGATTAGATAGGACAAAAACTCAGGCTTACCTTCCTCATTCTCACAGGCCGTATTGGTACAGTAAATGTCACCTCACCTGAGTGATAATTACTGCAGTGTTGCTTTGTACAGAGATAACTTAACTTTCTCTTGTAGGTGTTTGAAGCTAAAAGTGGACAAAACTAAAATGTTGGCTACATCTGGGGTGAAAAAAGCAATATTTGACAGGCTGTGCAATCAGCTGGAGAAGATAAGCCAGCAACTCAGCAGTAAGTTTTTGGCTTTATCCCTGTATGACAGCCATACCCATTGCCTGGCCTCACAGTGTCCCTTCCACTGGTGATTTCAGTCTGATCACTTTCAGGTGTCCCCTTCCAGCCAAACCTGCCCATCCATTCCAGTGTGTTTCCTGCAGCCCAGTTCCCAGTCACAATCATTGCTTCTGGAGAAGTTGCAACAGCTTAGCATGTGGCAAGGCCAAAAATAAATATTTTCCTCTCTTCTCAAATGCTCACTGCTCCTTACATTCTCTGCTGCTGCAATTTATTCCCTGCTTCTCCCATACTACCTGACCTCCTCCTTGCTTGCTTTCGGCATCCCATTCACATGGCAACATGACACATAAATTAACATAAGCATCTTGCTACCTCTCTTGCCTTGACTGACTCACTTCTGTGTTTTCCTTTCCCCCACTGCAGGACTAATAAGCCTAAGCCTTGCTCTTCTGGTAGTAATTCAGCCGTTTCCTGACACCATCCCTCCACATACAGTGGGCAGACACGAGAAATCTTTCTAGCCCATTATTGAACCTGCCGCTCTCTCCACTCCTTTCTGTGGAGGAGGAAGATTGAAATACAATACATGCCTTCCTCTGCTCCTTCCTACTTATGTCCTTTTTCCTTTTCCAGGCTTTCATTCTTACTCTCCTGCTGACAGTACCCCTGCTCCACCCTGTCTTCACACTTCGTATCGTGACGTTTGTTGGAATGTGCTGCCTGAACCCAAGCCAAAAGCTGCTGCTCTCTCCCTAGGCATGGACCTTCCCATAGTGCAGCGCCCTATAAAAAAAACCCAAAACCTTACCCCACCACTAAAGCAGCTAAATGCAGCTGTGAGTTTCTGTATCAGTTCAGGGAAGAGTGTGCATCTGTACGCATGGCCAGCCCCCACCATGTTGTGGGCATCCATAATACAAAGTGTGGAAATGGGATAGAAAGGGAAGAAATAACTGATAATCCTGCCTGAGTAATCAAGAAGTGTGTTTTTGGGGTATGGACATGGTGGATTATTGTGGTTACAAATGCAGCAGCAGTGCTAGCTACAGCAGCCAACCAGTCCATGCAACCCTTGAAGTGTGCTGGCACCTCTGCACGTACCGCTTGAGCATCAGCCGACCAGGGAACTGCTCTGACTGGAAGACAATACTTTTGGAAGGTGGCACTGCTGTCGAAGAATCGCATGTAGAACACCACCCTTGGGGCCCCAAAGACCACTGAGAAGTAAAGCAACTTATTTATTTTTTTTAGAAGAAGATGTTCCACTGGCTGCAGCAGAGACACCTGAAAGTTTGCAGACCAACCTGGAGCACTGTGAGAAGGAAGATGGTAAGTTGTTTTTAGCTATGAACTGAAATCACCTCACCAGAGCAGTTCTGAGCTTTATTACTGCTTAGTATTTTAGTTGTGTAATATGCCATAATATTCAGTTCACAGCTGTTTACTCCATTCTGCCAACCCCCAGCTAATGAAAGGACAAAGAGAACCTAGCAGAAGGACAGTGGTTTTTATACTGAGTAGTCCTAGTAGAATTAAGGACAACTGTTCCATTCAGACACAAAGGTGAAGAGGTGGCTGTTCCGGCAGGTGAGGGGAGCAGCAAACCACAGGATTAGATAACAGTGACAGACCTCATGCTTGAATCTGCCACAGTTGATCCCAGCAACATACTGCCCATGATGGCCTGTCATGGACTTTCTCCTTCTCTCATAGGATCTGAAGATGATGATGAGATGCCATGTAAACGGCCAAAGACTGAAACAAAGCAAGACTATGAAGAATGGAAAAAGAAAATCCTGGAAAACGCTGTTAAGGCACAAGAGACAAGTAGGAGTACTGTCTCTGTAGTGCCACCTAGTAACAGAACTGCTCCTTGCTCATAATTTTAACTCTCCCTCTGCTCTAACAAGAGTTCCAGTAGCATATGAGTGATGGCTGCCTGGTAGTCAGCTGATTTTATTTATTGGCTAGTTTTTAAGTATTTAAGAATGTTATTTTTAGTAAATGACACCAGAATTGAGGTGATTTTACAAGAAGCCAGTCTTAACTACTCGCCAGGCTGGTACCTGAGCAGCTATGGCATTAGGTGGTAGAACAACTTCATTCTCTTGCTGCAAGAAGCAGGTAACATTCTAATGCTGTGTTAAGTGTAAGTAAGTTATAAGTTATATGCCCTTGGGCCTCTGGCTGGAAGTAGTCAGTGAAAACAGAGGGAGGGGACTAACAGTGCCTTGTTAAACTGCAAAACCAGCAGAGGAATTAAGACTGATATTTTTTTATTTTTTTTTTTACTATTGAAGAAATACAGTTTAGTCACTGCATTTTACTTATTTTTATGACCTGTATGGGACTGAAGTCTCTTGTGCTTGTAAGGGGTCCCAAATATTCCAAAAAACAATAAAAGCTTTGTATTATGACATCAGGTTCTAGACCCTTGTCATATATAAACCCCTTAGAATGCAAAATAAAAGACATACAGGAGATGTCTGTGCTTTAAGAAGGAAGATATCCAGGGGATAGGGATCTTGTCTGGGTAATATAGGTTTTTTGCATCTTGCAGTCATAAACTTAGGGAAGAGGAGAGAGTGCCCTGCCCTGCAGTTCTTAGGGGCAACTTCTGCGGTCCTACACTTTCATCCCAGCTACTCAAACTACAATTTGTGTTAACTACTTCTGAATGAAAATTGTTACTTTAAGCAGTACAGGGCTGGTGTAACTATAATAAAACCAGTCCAAGTGTTCGGCCCTTTCTCTTGCATGTTTTCTGCCTGGGATGTGCAAAGAAAAGTTAACTTTCATAAACTCTCATTTCAAAACAACCCAGAAAACCCCAAGTGCCCATATGAAGCAAGGTAAATTATCTCACATCTGAGCATTTAGGTTTGAAACACTGCCCCCACCTGAACTTCTCAACAGTATTTTTATGGCTTGCCAACCACCTCACTGCTGTGCAGACGCCCTGCTTACCTGGGCGACACTGATCGCACCAGGATTACCATAGTCGATATCATTAACTGCTTTAGATATCAGTGTATGGGGCCAGTTCTTTTTGTCATACTTACTGTTCCAGTGACTCGCAGGCCACCTGTGGTTCATCCTTTTAGCTTTTTCTAGACCCCAAAGCAAAATGCACAGGACATGGTGAAACATCCCATAAGGCTGCAGAGGTGGGTTCCACTGTACTGCAGAACCATGGGGTGGCTGCCAAATCTAAAGGGGTTTCTTCCTGTTAGAAATGAAATAGTAATCCTGCTGGCCAGATGCACCTTCTCTTGGTAGAAAACGGAAAGAAAATACATACAAGACTGCAGAGAGCATCTGCGTGTTACTGTCTTACAAAAATAGAGGAAGAAGCACATAGTAATTGGAAAATTAAAACTTACTGTCCATTTTCCTTTCACTTCTCCTCCCAATGCATAAAAAAGGAAATCACTTGAAGCCAACTTTACTTCAATTAGCAAGAGCTAATTTCATTCCAGATGAGAGTTCTGAAATGTAACAGTAACTATTGAGGAGTGGACTCCAAACAAATGCCTGATGTGCAGAGAAAATAGTGGATAATTAACCCACATTGAGTAAGAGCTTTAACAAAAAGTCTGCCGTTTAAAGCCTGATCCAATATGTAACAGAGTGTCCTCAGGATGGGAGAGAATCCAACCTAGTACATTAGCATTCTGTTGTTAAGACCTACTCAGAGATGCTTTCAGGTTTGTTTGGCAGGGGGGGTTAAACCAAAATGGAAGAATAGGCTTGTTCCACTTTAATGGAATTTATTAGTATTAATTCAGAAATATACAGACCAATTAATATAATCACATTTAACATGCAGAACCACTGTGGAAGGAAAACATGAACAGAAGTGGGCCTTCACAGAAGGTGATACATTGTCAAGATTATTTCACTTGATTTTAGTAATTCTTCTCTGTCTCAATTCTGGAAACGCTGCAGAAGTCCAGAATTCAGGACTATGCAAAGTGAGAAGCACTAGAGTGGACAAGGTAACTAGACTAGGGTAAGCCAGTTTTACAAACCTCTTGATTAGCAACCAACACTTTTGCTAATTCAAGGGACGTGAAAGTCCATAAAGTTAAAGGGAGCTTTACAGTAGTTTGATGCCTTTGCTGGAAAGCTAGTTTTAGTAGTATTAGTTTCTGTTTTTTCTAAGAGCCCATCCAGCTCACGCTGAGTTTTACAGAGTCTAGAACAGGAATAAAAGAAATCACAGGTTTAATAAATAATGCTATACTTTTAGCTGAGAGACTGTAAGTGGCTCCAACTCTTTATACATCAGGAAAAAAGTTTAAAATCCAAAATAAGTTAGTATTGTGAAAAAACGTTTAATGTTCAAGAGCAAAGTGGGGAGAAAAAAAGGTCTTCAACCTCCTAACTGGGCTAGAGGCAGAATCTGGCAACATACTGTTTCCCTGCCACTGAACAGCAATAAAACCTATTTTGCATATCACACCATATCAGCTTCTCAGACCTCATGAAAATTGTCAGAGAGGAGAAAAAAATTCCTCAAACTAAAACAAAATTAAGGGCTGCAGTCACAGCCAATGAGAAGCACAAGTTTTAAATACATATACAATGATGTCCAGAAATCTTTTCTGGACAACATGAAATCTTTTTGCATAGACCCAGCAATCATTAGGTGATTTTTGTTTGTGGCAGTTTCACCTATCTCCTTCCAAAAGTTCAATCAATTCAGCTCAATTCAACTCACTAAGAAAAAGCAGCAATGGACCGACTGACTCCAGGATTCCTCATAACTATACAGTGACAATTTTTTAAAGGAGAAAGTAGAATAAAAACAAACCAACAAACCAAAACCATTCGACTCTGAGTAGTTGCACCGAATCATCATCATCTTTGGGGGGAAACAGTTAATCTTTCAGAAAAAATGACAGAAGAAAAGGATATCTGATATCTTTTGTTCTAAGTAACAAACACCCAAGGGAAAAATTGTGCCACCGTTGTGGCAGTGCTCTAAAATTGATGACATACATCAGTCATGAAGAAAGTCTTCAGAGATCCCATGCATGGTGTGAGAAACCAGAAAACTGACAAGGTGTCAGTGTAAACACACCGACAATACTCTGCAGAATCAAAGCCTTCAGCAAGAAGTCAGCCCCAATAACAGCCATGTTTTTCCATCGCTATGTACAACAACTAAAAACTTGTAAAAACAAACAAGGTAGCTTCTGCTTTTAGAAATTATTTCTGTGCCTCTTCCTTGAGGCACTTCTGGAACCTTAGCACTAACACACATAATATTTGAGGAGGACAGACTCAAAACCTTATAAAACAAAGGGGTAGAAATTATTGAAGATGCTGAGTCCTTCTTCCATGGCTTCATGTCCATCTTCAAGAGTGGTAGATGCTTCATACAAGCTTATGCAAGCTTGACAGACATACTCTGAAATCTCTTCAGCCTGTTAGCAGCAGCCACCACATAAAAATGTTTCTGTGAACAAAACAGAAGAGTCCAAGTGTGAGTGCAACTGAGGTAAAGGACCTTTTCTGTGGCTGACATGGATTTTTCTTCTTGGTAAACCCATTTACCTCTAGTGACCCACACCTTGTGTGGACTGCAGTGCAGAACAGCTTTGTACTGGGGAACCACTGGTTACTGCAGAACAGACTGCTGGTACTGTGAACTTCTGCAGCATTATTACGAATTGTATAGTGGTACGTCTTTAGATTATGTCTTTTTTAAAATGCAAGTGCAGAAGTCTGTGACCAAACAGCTGGAGTGCAGGAATGGAAAACGTGTAAGCCTCTGGTTTAACTCCTTGGCAAGGAATTACAACTCTCCAGTGATAAAAGAAAAGGAAATGGTCCTCACTGAGTTTTCCTTACATTTCCATCGGCTTGTTTGTATCAAGATCACTGTGTTCACCTTTCAGGATCGATTATCTACAATCCAACAGAGACTCCAATAGAAATTCTTATCGATCACTTCTTATAAAATTTAGTTCTGAAGGAGCATGGGGTTATCAGAAAGGTCCCGAAGAGTTCTCTGGATGAGTTTAAGCCTAATTTTTTCTCTCCCCCACACTTTTACTCTCTGCAACGGGAGGTACAAAACTGCCTTATGTTGTATCCCTACTCCATAGTGACAACAGAACAATGCAACTGTTGTCAATGGAAAAAAATCTCTTCAATATAAAGAGAAAGAACATTTAATATAAGCTAAGTAGCATCTGAACTCTCTGAACTTGTAAAGAAAAAACCTAACACTTACGAACATCAATCAGAAGGAGTAAAAATTGAAACCAAACTTGCTAAAAATAGAAGCAATATCATTCTGCAGGAGAAAAAAACGTAATTTACAACTGAAAATAGACTTCCCAAACTCATATTTATGAGAAAGAAGCCTGTGGGCAAAAGTGAGCCAACATACAAAAAAGGAGGGAAGGGCTCTGCCTGTGCTGAGCTGATTTTCCCTCTGGAAGGAGATTTGCCAGACTTTGTCTATTTACCTTCCATTTTCTGTGAGCCATGTAACTCTGCAGCAACAACTGGGACTTCAGGCGAAGCTTGGACTTCTTGGCTTTGGCAGGTAGATTGTTTAACCACTCGTGCTTCAGACACTGCGTTGCACTCATCCGGCAGCTACGGGAGAGAAAATCTGCCATGTAAATCCAGCTACTCTCGTTGCCATTTTCTCAGTGCCCTGTGCTCCTCAATATTATTGATAAAGAAACTGCCTTAAATGAACCAACACGAGTGAAGACGCTTCCTGAGATGCTGTTCATCCTGGTGCACGGGATCCTAATGACATCCTGCACTCTCCAGTGTAAGGGCTGCGTGGTGTGAAAAGCTGCTGGTGAGTCTGCAGTGGGTTGATTGAGCTATAGTTAAGTACTGTATTTTGCCTTTTTAGGGTTTGGGTGTGAGTGTGGGTTTTTTTTCTTTGAAGAAGCAGCTGTACAGGTTCATCAGTCTGTGTGTATCATTTTGTTATGTGAATGCAGAACTTTGCCAAGAGAATCGGTGAATACAGAGAAATAGTATTTGTGGTGTTATCTGTCTGTCCTGATAGTGCAGGCTTGTTCTATGCTTCACATTTAAAAAGCACAATTGTCTGTTCACCCTAAACTTGGATCAAGCTAAGCATACATTATATCCTGACATTCAACAGTGGGCCCAAATGCAAAGGCCTATCCAAAAGGCTTTGAGAAATATATGGTAATAGAGGAAATCTTGGGGGAGAGGTGTTGAGAAAAAAACATTTCATTTGTCTTTTTTCAAAACAAAAGCCTATGTCTAGCTCCTGATCTTTGTCTGAGCTGTTACAGAGAAGATAATGAAAAGATGAGCAGACTCCTGCCTGCTCGCACCTAATTTCAGTAGTCAGGGGAGGTAGGCACAGATCTTGCACAAGGCCCGACCAACCATCCCAGCATGGCAAAGGTGCCTAGTCTGTAGGAGAGCAGAGGCTGTCCATATACCTTGTGAACAACCAGGCCAACTAATCATTGCTCTTTGCATCTCACTGACAACACTCTTTTCTTGCATAGTCATTTTTTTTTCACAGCTTCTAACCAGACTTTGCATAATGTCCCTCTGGAGTCCCTATTCCCATTGCACAGAAAAATGGAAGGCTCCAAAGCAAAGTTTACAGCCTCACAGCAAATCATCATCACAGCCTGAGAAAAAACCCTTTGTTGTCTCCTGCTGGCAATATGCTAAAGTTCAGTTTATTCTTAGCTTTTCATATGACTTATTGTTCAAAATGTAATTAGTATTAGAACTGATTTGTCTGATTTAGATAATGATCTGGAAGTTGTTAATATTCTAAGCACTCCTTTGAATTCCCCTCAGACACACAATCTGTTTTACTGTATGCATCACTTCCTGTTTTGATTAGTTTTGTATCTACTCAGCAAGAGAAAAATTTCTCTACTCACTCACCCAACCCCATAGCCATGGTCTGACATCAATATCCTCTTCATTCTCTTGTGTCGTTTCCTATGTGCAATCATTTTTTATTTCAGTGGAGCCAAGACTGAGAAGCCACGTGCAGACTTAAGGCCCAAATGCTCCTTAATATCTACCAAATGCATGTAGACCACTTTGAAGAGAACAACGCACATTTTCACAGCTGCAGCTTCCATTTACCCTCCATGGCATTCAAGAGACATTTTTGCAATTTGTGTCAGGGCTTGTGAGAATTCAAAGTAACAATAGAAGTAGCTTTTGCTCAGAGAAGGAAAACTAAAGACAGATTCCTACACAGCAAGTCTTTCCAGATTTCCTCTGTTCTGCCTGTATTGATGCTACTGTGAAAAGCAACTTTCTTCAGTCAAGGTACACAGACATTGTCCTTTTAAATAGGGGCTTTTGAATCACTGAGGAACTGCCCAGCAAGCAAAGATACAGCATACAAAAATGTCACGTAGTAAGTTCTCATTGTTGGCTGCAATCCAAACAGTTGGCTAGGAGGAACTTAATGTCATTAGGTGCTACTGTCCTCAGGATCAGACAAAGAGTTACCTTTTCTCCTTCACGAGTAGTCGGGAAATAAAGTCTTTAGCTTCCTCCGATAGCTGTTCAAATGCTTCTGCATCAAAATCCCAGCTGCAATTGACTACATAATTCATTGTCTCCGCATCAGTTTCTCCCAGGAATGGGGACAGGCCACTAAGCCTTAAAAAAAGAAATAATGGGAGGGACATGAGTAGTTACTACAATGCAAGATGCATTTTCCTTCTACAAATCCTCTGCTTTATAATTTTGTTAGCTTATGGAGAGGAAAGACTCTTGGCTATGGGGGTTCCACTTCTCAGTCCCTGCCAAGATAAGCCAACAGTCTGGAGCCATAAAGCATTGTAGTGCTAGTGGTACTCTCTAGCAGTTCACCCAGCTACGTCAGGGAGCACTGTTAATAGATCCCCAAGGAAATTAATTCAGTGAGGATCTAGGTACATACTTCAGTGCTTTCCCAGCTAGGAAAGCTAGAGGGACTCAAGCACTTTCCTGAATCAAGGCCCATATCCGTATTTGGCTTGAATTAAACAGAATTCTGAACAATAGCATACTTTTTTCAATTAGTCTCTAAGCCCAGATTTATTGCTTCAGTCATTTATTACTTCATTCAGCTGGGTTTTGGCTAACACAAATTTAAACCAGAAGTGTATCCAGTTCACAGAAAGCATCTGTGAAAGATTCCGGGATGCAAAGTCAGCTCATCAGAAGGCAAGACTTCGGACAGACTAGCCATCCACGGCCACCACCCAGATATCAGAGAAAAGTTTTAGCCCTATTTGTGACATGACATTTTTTAGACCCCTGGCCTAACACCCAACATTAATTCCTCTGTGCAGATGCAGACCAAGTCCAAGCTACTAAAATGATCAGATTGCAAATTTGAAAATCAATTCATCAAGAATGCAATCAAAATGAAAATACTAACATGCTTTGCGCAACTTTTCCAAGTAAAAAAAAGACCTGACCCATTTTACTTTGCTAAATAAGGTGGTAAGGGAGAAGAATAACATTTACATATTTATGAAAAGGATTATTTCTTGTTTAGAGACTTTGTACACACAGCGAGGTGCCTTTGCATTAATGGCTGGGTTTTTTAACAGAATGAATTAGGAGGAATCCCAGCCAGATGGGCTCAGTGGCTGGGGGGGTTCTTCTCCTCCGAGCCCCTTCAGTGGCTGCCGCCTTCCTGCTCTGCAGATACCCTCCACTGGCGTGCTCTTGCAGAGCCTTTGGTGCCATCGCCACAACCTCTCACAGGGTTACTCACAACATATAGGTGATGACGCCTACACTCCACATGTCTGTTGGGAAGGAAACAAAGTCATAGTTCACCACTTCAGGAGCCAAGAACTCTGGAGTTCCGAAATTAACCTTCAGTTTCTCACGAGGTTTGTACCTTTGCAGGGAAGAGAGAGACATCACTGCTGAGAGCAGGCTGGGGAACACATCTCACACTTGTAAAAATCAAGGCATGGCTTTTTGCCACGTGAGCATGGCAGAGCGAGCATAGTAGACTCACCCAGGCAATCAGGACAGCATTAAGGTCTTTAAAAAAATAAATTGGTGAATTTTGCCATGACTTCAGGTGAATACACCATCCCTTTGCCAGAGCAAAACCAGAAGGGAGACCAAGGGCAATAAAACCCACAAAGGCCTCCCCCACAGAGTGACAGCAGCTTTTCTCTCTGCCGGGCTCCACAGGACGGTTTCCAGCAGATGTCGTCCAATATAAAACAAATAAAGCAGCTTCCATTATAACAGGTTTGGAGAGCATTTGCTTAGTGGGATGTACCCAGCTACAGCTCAGAGTAAAGGTCTGTGTAACAGATACGAGCACAATGTAACTGCTAAGGTGGGACTCTGAAGAGGATTATTCAGGCTCGGTAACAAGTTAAACAAGGATCCCATATAGGGAGAAAATAATTCTGTTCTATTGCTTAAAAGGGAAAGATTACAAAACCGAACCAGTAATAATTGTCACTGATGGCAGCCCGAGTTACATGTGTGTACAGACAGAACAAACCATTAAAGCATTGCTTCTACATCTCTATTTCCTGCGAGATCTTGTTTTCAAAATGGCTTTAGTAGAAGTTTGCATCTTTACCCTCCCAATTTAAAAAAAAAAAAAAAGAAAAAAAAAAGAAAGCCAAACCAAACCCTCAATGTATCCGTTTCCGTTCTCATAAAATACTTCTGAAAGAACAAAGTCCTTGGACAGATACATACACACACGTAGGTAGATATATGCATGAATGTACAAGGTTTTGGCTTAAGAAAAGCCTCAAAGGGTTTAGAAAAGAAATAGAGAAATGTTGTTCTTACTGTTATACTAACAGGAGTCATTCCTTTTTATTCTAGGGGAATTGACTCATGCTCTCACAGCTTTCCTGTAACAAAGGAGCAAACTAAAAAAATTGCGAGCAAAGTAAAAGAACAGAGAAAAGTCCATATTTCTCTGAGGGCTTCCTGTTTCACATGGGATGGCTCAAACACACCTTTTTTTTTTTCTTTCACCTTTGATCAACTTATCTACATAAAGAGTTTAGCAGATAATTTCCACAAATAGAGCCTGCACAATAAAACCCAGCAGTTAAGTAGTCTCTGAGAGCCTTCATGGAGTCCCTAGAGTAAAAGCTCTACATAAGGAATAATTTTGAGATAATTAGAACACCAGTGTAGCTTTATCCAACAGAAATGTTATTTGAAAAAGTAATTAGATAATTAATGCACACAGCAGAAAACGCATGCCTGCAGCAGCATACTGCTTAGCTCATTCCCATAGCAGAATTACTTTAGAGTCACCAACATGCATAACACCCCCCCGCCCCAAGAACTACCAAAAACACGTCAGAGGTTTGTGGGTTTGTTTTGGTTTTGTTTTTTAAAATAAATCCATAATTGAACTCTCTTACCTCCTTGCTAATCCAAAGTCAATAATTTTAATCTGGTTTCCTGTGTGATTTACACATAGTATGTTTTCAGGCTACAAAAAGAGAAGAGGGTATTTTCAGTTAAATGTTTGAGAGAGAGATCTAGCAAAAGGGTACACAAATCTCAGAGATTTTCATGATAATTTTTAGTACAATACTTTTCCTTCTGTTCCTATCATGGGAAAGAAAGATTTGACTGGCATACTGAGTTAGTGGAAGGTTTGGTTTTGGACCTCCCATGAAGAAGTTTAACTTCTGTTGCTGTATAACAATATTCCTATATTTCACCATAGGTGACAAATAGATTTTGAAATGGAAAGCCCCCCCTGTGTAGAATGGTAGGGTCAGTCTGATGGTTGAGGCTTACCCACTGGATTTGCTCCTTAAGTATAAAAGTAACGCCATAAAAAGCCACAAGATATATGTCAAATGCACCCTTTGGTTTGCCCACAAAGGCAAAAATTTGTTTTTTCCAATATTTTTGAAGGTGAGGATGGGGGGGATGATGGTGACCAAACTTATTACAACTGCAGAACTGTCTACAGGCCAACCAGCTCTAATATCGTTTGTGTAAGGTGCTGTATAAACAAGCAGAAAAAAAATCAGTTGCTATTTCTGTTCAAAAAGATCAGTTATTAAGGGGCCATTAGGAAAACATTGTCATTTTACTGCAGTTCAGTTCCAGGCAGTAAAAAGTACAAACAATATGAAGATGATTGAAGAGATATTTGAACACAGTTGCAAGGGGGCAGGGGGAAGTGGAGGGACGACTGCAGGCATTTCTAGTCAAAGAGGGGTCTGGGTGTGGTTTTTTCATTGATGACAAAAGGGCTTTGTTTAATTCTGCACAGAATGAAAAGCTTCTGATGGAAGAGAGGCAAAAGCACAGAATCCTGCTCATTTCACTATTCTAAACAAGCTACCAAATAGACATTGGAAAAAAACCTACTGACCTTCAGATCTAAATGGAGAATATAATGCTGGTGCAAGTAGTGGACTCCTTCACAAATCTGTTTGGTAAATAGGATTGCATCCAACTCAGTTAGATTGTAGTTTTCATCTGTGATCCGGTCAAATAACTCACCACCATCAAGACTAAAATTTTGACGTAGAAAAGTGTTAAAAACCCTAAAATTCCTCATTAGCTCAATTTATTTCCAAGTTGGGAACTTAGTCTCCCTAATTTAGCAAGGGTCCTAACAACACATCTAATATAAAGTGTATCAGTAGTCTCAATGACTTCAAGAGACTTATTTCTGAGTGTGAAATTAAGTATCAATCTAAATTAAAAAATGGAAAAGTTGTCGCTAACATTTGGGGGGGATATATGTCAAACCCAAACCCACACGACCTGGTGATCCAACGGGGACCTGGAGAACCTACAGGGAGTACCCAAAGTATCTATTCTTTGCTCATCTTATTAGTCTAGAGAAAATAAGTCTTCAACCTATAAAATTTACTAAATGAAACTTCTCAAACTGAAAGTTATTTTACATGAGCTGACAACTGGACTTAATCCTGCAGAAAAATTAAGAGAAAATTGCATCAGATATATAGCTCTGACAAGGTTCTGCAAGGTAAAAACTTCAGGTATTGATTTCAATATACACATTTTAAATGTCTTATCAGATTTATATTTGCTATTTCATTTTGCATTCTTTTTTCCTTCATTTTATTAACAGTTAGTTCTGTAGCAGAAACTCAGTTTTTACATTATAAAACTTCAGGTTTTTGTAAAGCAATACACCACTACACAGAAAAGGCAGCAGGTGTGCATCATGAAGTCTCCCTTTTGTGAATTCCATATTTGATATAGATCAAAATTCTTATTTAGCTTCAAATTGGGAGGCATTTTTATTAATCCTAAAATTATTCAAAGGAGGCAGACCGTGCATATAATGAATCACCTTCCTACCTTCTCCATGTCTTTTCTAATTCTACTTAAAACACCTCACTCCTCCTCGTGGCCTGGGTCTCTCACCTTCACTCTCTCCCTAATATGAGATTTTATTTACCTACAACACTTTTATGTAATTTGGTAGCTAGGGACAATGTTGGGGCCCCTAAGTTCAACTTAAATGAAAAATGAACCATAGTGAAGTTCTGTTCATTAACAATCTTGTAATTTCATTCATAGTCTTGAAGATAGCTGCCTTTCTTACCATTTGTTTAAACTGTAATCGTGCCAAATATATAATTTTTAATCTGAAGAAATTACCTTTTAAACATTTTTTTTTTCCTTCTGAAAGCGAAATCAACTCTCTCTCAGGCTGGGAAATCACCCAAGTCTTCTTCACACCTCAGAATTATCATTCCCTATTTCCTTTAGTGACCTGAGAAAACCCAAACATCTGACAACTCCCGAGATCATTTAAACTTACTATTCCATGATCAGAGTGATATTATTTTTGGCTTCAAAAGCATCATAAAGCTGGATCAGATTCACGTGATTTAATTGGTTCATGACATTAATTTCATTTTTTACTTCCTCCTGAAAAAAACAATAAATTAACAACAAAATGAGCAAAATATGCTCCTTAAATTCCAATATATTCAAATACAATTATTTGTAAAACCCAATAACAGCTATACCACAGGTCTCATGTGGAGAGAAGGTTTAACCACAAACACAGGAGATGACAAACAGTCAAAGTCCAAGCTGTTACTTACTAAGACAGATTTTACAGTATCTGGTATTACCCAACGACAAGTTCCCTCTTATGGCCTGATTCAGGGAAGCGGTGTTAAGGTGCTTGCAATAAGGCCAGGTTTAGAGTGTGCTCACTTGGATTCACAGCAACATAGTTACCCTCTCTTTTGCTCCTTTCACTTTTATGATTTTGGCTGCCAGGTTGAGACCAGTTGATATTTCCGTGCACTTGTGAACTTGCCCAAAACGCCCCCTGTTGATACCAAAGAAAAGACGGGAAACCAGCTTAACACAGCTCACCGCAGAAACTTTTCATATAACTATTCTTATCGTTGATTAAAAATAGCACAGTACAAAGTGAACAGAATCAGGTGGCCAGCAGCATGAATCTCCTCTTTCTCTCAGCTTATGAAGGATTAGTTTTATCTTTCCAGCCAGTTGTTCAATGCTTACATTAAAATATTATGCCCCCTTCATATTACTACATTTCACCGTGGTATGATGACCTGATGATATTCTTTTTCGGTTCTGTAACTGTACCCGCTTGCTGTCCTTCAGTGATGCGTTAGTGGGTATATTAACAAGGATATTTCTGTCCTGATCTCATAACTTTTTAAATGACTATAAGACCAGTAACTGTAGCCACTCCACAGACTGCATTTCTTGCGTGTTGTAAATTCTCCCCCATGTCACCCAGATATGTTAATGCCCCTTGGGATGATTTCTAAACACCATCTTTCTGCTATTGCATCATCAGGCTTATACTTATTAAGCCATATTTGTACTTGGATCAGCCTGTAAATCAAACCTCCTTGTCAGATAAATAAGGATACAAGAATACAAAGGCTGAAGCAGCTGCAGACTTCCTATGAGTGAAAACTAAATGTAAGGTCAAAACAATTATAACTTCTCCCTTAGTTTTAACGTGCAGTTCAGCACGGAAAAAAGATTTTGGAAGCTGCCTGACCTAATGGGCTTTGCTGACTTCAAATGCTCCGAATCTGTCTGCCTGAAGGTTACAGGTTTTTTCTCATGACACCAGCTGTGGCCAGGATTATTAAAACAAATGCAAAAAACAGTCATCCAAGATCACAGTCAGGCATCTGAAAATGGAACCGGGGCAAAAACCAGTCATTTAAGGCACACCCCACACACACACACCCCAAAATCAACAGAAGGTTGATATAAGGAGCCCAGTAACTACGGTAGCCCAAAAAGTCTCAAGGATGAACCTGATCACTCTGGCTGCAGTGAGCTTGTAGGTGCCTCACCCACGCACACGTTGGAGCCATCTGAAGAAGACAGCTCTAGCTCTCCAGCTAAGTGCATTTCTCTGTGCCTCAGCCACCAACAGCAGTACAGCATTAGGGGCAGGGAGACTTACCCCCCCAGTACTTCATGGCGACACACCGAGTAGCACGTTGTCACCTCTGTTTGCTTGACACTCACTATGCGATGTTCGAAAGGAGCCGGAGGAGAAGGGCTGTCATCTAAAGGGGAGACAAGCTGGTCGTTGAAATGTTTCTGCACACATCTCTGCACTCAATTTCACCTCCCTCCCATCAATGACTTCAATCCACAGGACGTGCATATCACCTTATTGTGTTTGCTAAGTGTAATGAGAAGTCTTAACTGCCTTCCATGCTCCCAGTATTCACCGCTCCACAAAACCGTACTCTTGTGCTCCCCCCACCTTCAGCATCGCTGTTCCTCAAGGGATGAACCCAGTTTCTCAGACAGGCAGTGCTGACGCGGAGCCGGGACCACAAACACCCACACGCAGCTCCTGCCCTGCCTCAGCCCTCAGCGCTTCTGTGCCTGGGAGAAACTCTGGGAGCCAACACAAACACCCGGACAAGCCAGCCTCCGACTGCTGCCGATAAGCTGCTCATACAAACACTCAAAACAGAACTTCAGTATAAAGTGCACTACCCTCTGCCCCGTCTTTTCTCTTTGCTTCGTGTTCCTCTACCACAGCATCATTTTTTCTTCTGCTGGAATTCAGACAAGCACCGAAGTATCTGGATAACATTAAGCCTGCAATTCCTTCACTATTTTTAGAGTGGCATGCAAGTAAAATAACCATTGCATTTGCAGCTAGCCGTAAGAACGGAGCTGCTGAAAATATCCAAAATCTCTCTGTTACTTCAAGTGAGGAACTTTTACTGCCGACTTTCTTTTACAGATGAGGAATACAGGCCCAGAACTGAGAACAGGATCCCACCTCCTGAACCTCAGCTCTGTTTTTTTAACACAGTAAACCCACTGGACACCTTTAGAAGATCAACATCTTAGTCTATGCATTAACAGAAGAGGTCACCTGAAAAAATACTTGGAAGTTTGAAAAAACTACCCTTGATTTTCTTTTAATCATGACAGGGCAGCTGGAGAGACCAACACAAATACACAGCACTGATAAACGATGACAGTTATTGGTAAAATCAGAAAGTTTCTCCTAGCAGCAAGATTTTTGCAGACAATGTCCAAGTTAAAGCTGCGAACATTAACATTACAACTATTAAGTTTAATCAGTTTGTGGGAAGCTAAATCAGTGAACCATGATACACTTAACGTCCAAGTTTTTCTAAGGTAAAGCTTCCACAAACCCACTTTTGGTGTCCCCCATTCAAACAATTTTACAATTAATCTCCAGATATCTTGAGTTGCAATTTAACATGTATTCAACTCATCTCCAGCCACTGCTGAGAAAGCCAGATCCAGGTCAGGACATCTACCCATGTATGTACATTCTGGAACATACGCATATTTATGCTGCCAGGAGAGACTACTCCCTGAAACAACGCAATCAAGTGTTCACACAGTAACTGAGAAGCGATCTATGGCCAACAGCACAACAAAGACCACACGAGATATTCCTCCTGCAATATTCTGCTGCTCGCTGGATCTCCAGTCCATAGCTGCTAAAGCATACCTGGTTTGTGTACTCTATCTTAAGGAATAAATGCTTAATCTAAAGCAAATGGATTTTTTCAAAATCACTCATACTTCTGATCACACATATACTTCACCCAATTTTATTTTAAAGGAACTTTTTTTCCAAAACACACTTTAAAAGGAAAATTACTATTAAAAGAATTTGTACAAATGTTAATTCACTTGTTATTTACATAGCCAAAGGCACCCATGGCAAAATGCTCTTGAACTGTAAGACACAGGTGGTCTACTGAGCACTGCTCCAGCTATTATTGTATATATGAGACACGAGTAGCAAAAAATCCTCAGCATAAGAGTTTCCGAGAGTAACTGCAAGTAACTCACCGACGATCATTTCATCCTGTGTGGGAAGCTCTTTGCTAGCTTTCAATGATTTGGTCTTCTCTGGTGCCATTCCTGTACACTGATGAGCATCATTTTCACTTCCCCCTAAAGATGCAGACTCAGATTCTCTCCTCTCAGATTTGGCATCTGTCAGGGATTCTTCTGCTTTTGCTGTTTCTTGATGGATTTTCACTTCTACCCCTAGATCTTTTGTAGGCTCCTTTGCAGAGATACTCTGTGAGGTTACGGGCTTGCATTTTAATTCTGATTTCTCTTCAGCCTTTTTACCTGGCTTGGGCTTGCTCAGTAATGGCTGTTGCTTCCCCGCTTGAGGTGCAAGTTCATTTTGTTTTTTGTCCCCTTTCACTTCTTGATTTGGCTCAGTGCTGATGTTTTTAGGACTCTGTTGAAGTTTTAATTTGTCAGGCAGCTGTTTGACTCCTTCCACTTCTGCTGGTGTGGAGGACAGGGATTTTACTTTGGGACTTTTACCTCTGTGATCATTTAAGTTTCCTTCCTTGGTCATCTCAATCTTTTCTTTCCTTTCAGTCATGTGTACATTGATGGATATCCTGCAGAGCAAACAGTTGACATTTTACGCAGATGACTAGCTTTGCTTTTGTAACTTTCTGGGGGAAGAAAAATCTATAGGCTTCTGAAACCACAGATTTCTACACTATTAAAGAAATCTAACCATATTAATCCTCTTAGGAAATACTCACAGCCCTAAGGGAAGAGCACCAAAAAGCATGCTGATGCTTCTTCTGTGTCTTCATCTGTGTATATGCCTGCCTTCTGCTGAACACAAAATATCTCACACTGCAAAGTGTTAATCCCACATTTGAAAGTTTACCCACTTTCTGCAACTATTACAGTTGGTCTAACAAAATATCACTCATCTGGGCAGAGAGGGGATAGTGATGGCCTTCACAAATTACAGGCTGATTATCTAAATGACTGATGGCTCTTACGGCTCTACAAATCCAAAGGTTTGCATCCATCCCAGTTCTCTTCCAGCTGGCTGACTTGCACACTCAAACATCTGTATTTGTGTCTTCTGATGGGATAGCATTCTTTCCACAGCTTTCTGTTAAAAATGTAACTTCCATAAACTCTCTCACTCCATCAATACTGTTTTCCTTGGCATTCTAGCTACTGGAAAAGTATAATAATTTCTTTTCCTTGTGTTGCCTAAAAAGAATACGGGTTAAAACCAATTCTCTATGCTCCTAAAATCCATCAAAGACATTCATGTGATAGTTTTTTGAGTCAACTGTTACTGCTCCGACTGTCACGAGCACACAGTCTGATTTCAGTGAGACTGAACCAAAACTTGTGAGGCTGTAAAGCAGATTTTCTACAACAGCAAGTAAAGAAAATTTCTAATGTCTAGGAGAGAATGTAACTCATTTTTGCAAAAGTTATTGCCTCTTTCAGTGAAGTGACCTTATTACAAGAGATGTTATAAAAGAAAACGTTTCTGCTTTTGCCTAACAAGAGTCTGAAGTTTCTCATTTTCAGCACCTTTAACACCCTTGCGTTGTGCTATGAATCTAAGCTGCACCGGAGTGAGCTATCAGAGCAGCTGAACACAGCTCTGAGCAAACACTTCCACTGCTATCTAGACAAGCCTGAACTCGGCAGGACTCTTGGGCATTTCTCCAAGCAAGGGAACACAATGTTCCTTTGATGCTTCTGCGTGGGCTTACAGACTTCATTAAAAGTTGCATTCATTTCAGAGAGGCGTTTACCACCCTTGTGTGACTTCACACACAGAAGCGTTAACAGGTAGCCTGTGCAGGAAGGCTGCAGCTTCCCCTGGGGTTTACTCAACGTTCTGCCCTCCAGTTACCTGTCCGCCTTCCTCCTCCCCAAACCAAAGTCTTTGGGGCTCAGATATCCCCCTGTCCAAACCAGCCAGCTGCTCCAGAAGCTGCTGCCTATCTCCAGGTTCACTGCCTGGCACATCACGATCAACCAGCACTGACTTCCAAGGGGTAACAGCAACTGTTCCTCCGCTGCTTCACAAACACCTTGAGCCATCCTCAAAGTACGGTACAGGCAGAGCCTCCGAGGCAGCACTCCAGCAGGCAGCTGGGACCGACCCGCTCCAGCCGTTGAAGCACAGTGCCCATGGTTCACCAGCCAGAGCCTAAAACCCGCAGGGAAAGTACAGGGAGGTCCGCCTTTTCCTAGTGTTATTACAGCAACCAATTTGGAAGTAATAATGTCTATAAACTATACACAAAGTTGTTCCTGACTGTTTGAAAAGAGGTTACAGTAGTGAAAGCTTCTCCTTTCTCCTGCCACATCCTTACACTCAGCCTCTTAGGAGAAAAATATCCCAGTGTGCCAGCCTTTGCAATGACCCTTTCCCTCGTGAAGCCTATGTGCTGACATCAGGACAACTTTCATTCATTTTGGTAATTTATTCTTCATTCACTTTTTTTTTTTTTTTTTTTTTTTTTTTTTTAAAGTCCTTCATTTTCTTAAGACACGTCCCCATTGCAAAAGAA